ACACGGAGGAAAAATCAACAGAGAACAGAGATGACGACAGCGAGTTGTCCGAGACTGTATATATACAAGTAACGAGCCTAAATGAATCAATGCAACAACATACAGAGGCTCTGAAGACCTTGGCCGAGACAATGAAAGAGATTCGCGAGGACCTCAAAGGCTACCGCGAGCACACGGAGCAAATGACATCTGCCTTCATGGACTTTGCTCGGGATCAAGTAAAATATCAAGAGGACACCGACCAAAACTACATCGGACTCATGAAAATGGTCAAGGACTTATCGTCCACCGTGAAGACGACGCTGTGCGAAGTCAAAAATCTCAACGTCAACGCCCCAGAGTCAGTGGTACCCTTAAAATTAAATGCTAATTATACTGCTATAAGTGATATGACCATACCGCGTCGCGCCCCAGAGAGAAATTTACAGAGAAGTATTGATAACTACGACTCTCTTGATTCAACAATTGCTCAACTATATCGAACCCTAGAACAAAATTTGGTACCCAAACGCAACTTCGCGGAAAACAAATTAACGTCAAAATCCAACTTCACACTGTGGCTTGATCTTCTCCAATCAGAGCTTGAATGTTACAATCTTAAATATTTGATCGATAACAAATGTGAGGAGGATTCAGAGGTACATAATAAAAACAAAATCAATGCAAGAAACTTAATAATATCGCGACTCGATGAAATATACCATAAAAGAATAATTAATTTAAAAGATCCTTTTGACATAATGCAAAAAATAAAAGAGACAAAAAGGATTGAGTCAAATATTTCAGAGTCGGACTTGAGACTAAAATTATTTTCCATTGTCAAATCAAAACATGAAACAGTTCAAGAGTTTTCTGATCGATTCGATGCAATCCTCCGAGAATTTGAAGTATGTAATTACAGAGACGCCCTACAATCCAAAGAATTGGACGCAGCATTTTACAAAGCTGTAAAAGACACCTTTCCTGACATCAGAACTGCAGCTCTGATTCATAAAGGGTGGGATAAACCTTTAACAACGGAACAAAAAAAATCGTATATGTTACAGCTTTAAGCAGAGAGAGGGGATCAATACAGAGCCAGAGCAAATCAAGCATCAATGAACCCTCGAAGAGACGAACCTCCAAGACAGGAACGCCCAAGAGAAGAGTATCAGAGAGACTACCAAAGGAAGTGGCAAGACCGAAAACGAGACTACCAGAGGGACCAACACAGGGACAGCGACAACAATTACCAGAGGGACCAACGAGACAACGACTACCACTACCAGAGGGACAATCAGAGAGATTATCAAAGACCAGAAGCCAAAACTGCTCAACATTGCTTCAGATGCAACGACAGGGAAGCTGGACATTGGTCACGTGATTGTCCTCTCGCTGCAAAGAACCAGTGGTACTGCTACGTGTGCATGGAGGTCCGTGGACACAAGGGAACCGATTGTCCAAACACCGTACAAAGGTCAGAATCACCTAACAATAATAATAATAGCAGTAGAAATAGCGATAAGGGTAACCCCAGAGACCGCGATAATCTTAAATTCAGAATAATCAGAAATAAAAACAGAGTATCCCCTTACAAGAACCGTCGCGACGACAAAACAAACTCAACAGGTAAAATTTATTCAAATTACGTAAATAATAACAATAAAATATGCTTTATAGCTGACTCTGGAGCCACAGAGCACATAATAAACAAAAGTTTAGTACTTAAGAATTTTCAGAGGATTACAAGGGTGAAATACATTGTGCTAACAAAAACGCGAACATCAAAAGCGATGGTGAGGGTACGCTAGTTGCAAAAACTCCCGATAACCGTATAATTAAACTGTCCAGAGTAATTTCCGCTTCAGAGGTAGCAGACAACTTGTTGTCATTAAGAAAATTTACGGAACTCGGGTACGGGGTGTATTTAGATAAATATAAGTGAGAAATCTTTGATAAAGACACCGGTGAATGTCACCTCAGAGGCAAATATGTACAACCAAATTGGATAATCGATTTGGAACTACTTACGTCTGATAAAAATGATAAGCAGACATGCTACGTTGTAACCGCGCACTTGTTGTCCTCTGAAGCCCCTGGTTCACAAGATCAATCAGATATCACTACTTCGAGTGGTGACTATCGAATTGATCTTGGGAGGGAGAATACACGTGCAGAGCCTTCAGAACCTTAGAGTACAATACAAGCCGAGGCAGAGATTAATATAAAGAGAAAAATTATTGACTGTAATCAGGCATTAACAGAGGCAGAATTAAATAAGCTATACAAGCAAAGTAAAGTCAACACCGAATACAGAGAGGAAAAACCAAGTCAAGGTATGTTGTGGCATAAAAGATTAGCTCATATATCAATCGAATATCTGATAAAAAATATACAGAGTGCTTAAAAAATATTAAATTTGAAGAAGACATATCAGAGTGCGAGACATGTATTAAAGCAAAAATGGTAAAACTACCATTCACAAATCAGAGACACAGAGCCGATCGACCATTACACACTATTAATGCAGACACGATGGGACCGATGAAGCATCCTAGCTTTCCTGGACATAATACATTCATAGTTGTACTTGTAGATGATTTCTCCAGATATGCAAGAGCTTACTGTGTACGACACAAAAATGAAGCAGGAACATGCCTGGAGAAATATCTCACACACACAAGAAATTTGTTAGGTCAAAATGAAAAAGTCTGTTTTATCAAAGCAGACAATGGTACAGAGTTCACCGGAGGAAAATTTGCAGAGGTAATGAAAGAAGAAAACATAAGTAGTGGATTTGCTCCTCCGTACACGCCAGAATTAAATGGCACAGCCGAACGGTTCAACAAAACACTACAATTCAGAGTCAGAGCACTGATGCATGATTCAGGCCTCCCAAAAACAATGTGGGAACTGGCGATCGAAGCAGCAGTTCATATATATAATCGAACACCACACAGAGGGCTAGAGTACAAAACACCGTTATCAGTATTCAATCCAAAACTTGACAGTCATCTGGATAGAATAAAACGTTTTGGTTGTATCGGATACGTTAAGATTCCAATTACAGAGAGTAAGTTCTCAGAGAGAGCGATAAAGGCGGTTCTAGTTGGATATACGAACACGGGATCCCTGATATGGCATCCACCGACCAATAAATTCCTGGTGTCCAGGCACGAAAAAACTAATTATAAAACTGAGTACGCAGAGAAAGAGTCGACAGAGGATCAAAAGAACATAGAGGACATATTTGAAATGTCAGAAGACTCAACAGAAGCAATACAACCCAAGAACAACAAAAAAAAGAGTAAAAGTGAAAAATCCACGCCAGCAAAAGTAAGAAAATTACCAGAGAGACGAGCCAAGTTAAATCCAAAGAGAGATGAAAACTTCATATACAGAGCTCAGGCAGAAACCCTTCAGAGTGAAATCAAAAGGAAACACGACGACGATGTTTATGCTAATATAGCTACAACATACAGAGATCCGACCAGCAACAGAGAGGCCATGAGCTCGACAGAGTATACAGAGTGGCAAAAAGCAGTGGATGAAGAGCTCAAATCCATAGAGGAAAATGAAGTGTGGGAACTGGTCAGTAAGAGTGACCTATACAAGAAAAATGAGAGACCCAACATCATTGACTCCAGATGGGTATTCAAAAGGAAGAAGGCTGAGTATAATTCAGAGAAATTTAAGGCTCAATTGGTCATTAGAGGGTTCAAGGACAAAAATGAATACCAACTGTTGGAGACATATGCTCCAGTGTCAAGAATGACAGTAATACGAGCAGCTCTGGCCATAATCAACAAACTTGACCTGGAAGTAGTACAGCTGGATGTCAAGACTGCCTTTTTGAACGGGACACTGGAGGAGGAAGTACATATGGAAATACCTGGAGGGACAAAAATCTCAGAAAATCTTAAGAGAACCCATGTATGTCGTCTGAAGAAAGCTCTCTATGAACTGAAAGTAAGCTCAAAACGTTGGAATCAACGTTTCAGCAAAGTAGCAGAGAAATTGAATTTAGAGAAAAATATTAATGATCCTTGTTTATTTACCTGGAGACACAGAGGAAAGATGGTATTGTTGGTATTGTACGTAGATGACATTTTACTGGCCAGCAATGACACTGATAAATTAAATGAGATCAAAACACAATTGTGCGATACTTTCAGCATGAAGGACATGGGTGAACCCAAGAAATTTCTGGGCATTGAAATACAGAGAGACAGAGTAAGAAAAACTATCACACGGAGACAGTCAGAATTTGCAGAGAAAATTTTACAGAGATTTAACATGAGCATGAGCAAGACACAGAAAACGCCCATGGTTACTCGACAAGTAATGAAGAAGAACGAAAATAATAATACAGAGAAGGATTTAGTACCCAGTAAAGCTCCATACAGAGAAGCAATCGGAAGTCTTCTGTACTTGTCCGGAATAACTCGCCCCGACATAGCGTTCGCTGTAAATTATTTATCACGACGACAAGTAACTCCGACAGAGCAAGACTGGACAAATGTCAAGCGAGTGTTCAGGTATATCAGAGGGACAGTTGACCTAGGTATAACCTATAGAGCAGAGGATAACGGAATGGAAGCTTTCACAGATGCGAGTTTCGGAGATTGTGAGGGATCGTACTCCACAGGAGGATACTTGATAAAATTATTTGGCGACACCATAGCATGGAGGAGTCATAAGCAAAGCTGTATAGCCTTATCTACATGCATGGCAGAATACAGAGCTCTGAGTGACGTATGTCAAGAAATAATATCTCTGGATAAAGCCACTCGAGATATCTCTGGAAATACTAACTATCCTGTGACGGTTTGGTGCGACAACGTCTCAGCTGGTAAATGTACAGAGATGGATGGTTCAAACAAGCTAAAGTGCTTTGACGACAATTTAGAGGAAATTAAACAGAGACATAAAGACAGAGAGAAGAAAGGGTTAAAAAGCAAAATATCAGTCACACATGGGGACTTTATTAAATGTTGTGTGAATGAAGGAAAAATTAAAGTCCTGTGGATAAATACTGCGGAGAATGAGGCAGATATTTTCACCAAACCATTACCGATTCAGAGCCATAATTATTTAAGAGATAGTATATTCGGAGTACACAGAGTTGATTGATTAATTATTTTTAATATATTTTGTAACCTAGAGAATCTCACCCCGACGCACTCGCCGGTTACGTATGTCCTTTGGCCATTGAGTCCGTTCCACGTGCGTCTGGGTCTACCTGAAAGATTCATGCAATCGGGCAAGGGAAATATTCGCACTCACATTCATCAAGAATCAAACACTCAATATTCTATTTGAATGTAAAAACTATAACTGTTTATTTATAACTACTCTACTACAAAAGTCTCGGAGAGAGTGAGACCGGACCATCGACGGCTCGCAACAACGTAGCTCTCTGGAGCATAGCCGAGCAACAAATACAAATAACCGAGGATATAACGGCCGCGCCGTTCAACTCACCGCTGTCGAGTTATCGTCCTATTGAAGCCTGGGGGTTGACGCTGCTGGTTGCTTCGCCGGTGGTCCTTCCTCGGGTCCCTGTAACAAACGACGTTGTGGCTCGTTGAGTTCGGGGCCGATCGCCTCTGCAGCGATGATCAGATCGACTCGTTCACACAAGCACACACTCACACACAAGCACGACCTCGAGCTCGCACTCACTCGCTCTCCTCGTCGTGAGGACTTAAGATTTAACTCCGCGATCACACACACTTGCGGCTCGACGTAGGTCGTCCCCTGGACCACCTCGTGCTAGTACTCACTTTCTCTCAACGGATACACACTCTATACCGTACACGTATGTTGCAGATGACTCTGCGAACACTCGCGGCTCTCGTACGTTGTAGCGATCTGTGATCTTTACCGGTCAAACAGTCACTAGCTGTCATCTTCTCTTTTCGCGCTGCTTCGACTTCGCCCGTCTATTCGATCGTCCTCTCTTGTTGACATATAACATAAAAGAAAACAATCACGCAGTCTCTCGTAATATTAAATTATTATTATTGGCCTTGACCGACAATGATTCGTCGAGCGACTTATTAAACCATAATACCGTTCCGGTATTACAATTTACAGATTCTAAACGATAGGACGCCTGCGGAGGGAGGGAGTGTTCTCGAGGTCTCCTTGGCGTCGCACAAATGGCGGTACTCTGCGGTACTGTCACCTGTCTATGCGTGCGGAGCAATCGTCGTTCTCCCGCTACAGTCCGTTTGTGGCACGAAACACACCGAGCCTCCAGTTAGTTACGAGTGTGATCCTGCGCGAGCAATAGTTCTCTTCTCGACTTCATGCAGCTTCTCTGCAGCCCTTTGGTTTCACCTTTTTACCTTTTTGATACTTTTTGTTATTTTTCAATATACAGGCACTTGTGTGCAGATTAGAGCGGAGAAATAAACTTTGTAAGAACGGAGTGATTTGTGTTCCTTTTATCATTAATAAAGTGATTTAAAAGTGAGTTCTCTGGTTCTACCTTCTTCCATTCCAACTTGCGATACACCGAAACTTCTCAATGATGCAAAATAGCTCTACAAGGCGATGCTGTTATAACCTCCGCGACCTCAACCCTTTGTCTTCGATCCGAGCTTGAACCAGCTCCAGCAGCAATCTTGAGGCAGCTCAGGTCGATGGACGATCTTCCTTTTACTTGTAGCCATTTTAAAGAAAAAAATCTTTACGGAGCAAATGAAAATATGTCCTGTCATGGTCGCCAAAATGTTCGAGTTACTTCCAAATGAATGAAGGCAAAAGTAAAAATGAAAGGTAAGAACTTTATTTAAATGAATACGATACAAGCTCTTTACTTTTTTGAATCCGTAACCCATCTGCCGCTCATCTGTGAAAAAAACAGGCAAAAGAGGAGCACGCCCATAGCAACGCGTAAACAAACTTATTTAATCTTGAGTTTGCACAGCAACCATGCCTATCGATTATTTCCGAGGCGTGATACGATGGTAGTAATGAAAAATGATATGAAATAGCGAAATGAAGCGCGAGTGAAGAAATGACTGTATGGATGATATTGCAAGGTTGGAGTAAATAAAGAAACAAGTATTTGTGTGCTAAAGTACATTGTGCGTAGTCTTTTCGCGACTCTCTCTCTCTCTCTCACTTATTTTCAGCTTGAACTGCCGACGCTCGCAGCGCACTTGGTGGCGGCTCGACCCCTTCTGAGGTAAGACTCAAAGATAGGCTAACCGGAGCGTCTGTAAAGAAATAATAGGACTGCAGGCCAAGCATGAGCTAGGGCCCAAAACCTCACACGTCTCAACGTATACCATATTTTTATATATGGGTCAAAATAAAACTTTTTTACAAAACCGTGCGCACGTATGTCACCGATCTTGACGCGCTTTTGGTATGTTCTAGTACATGGTAAAAAGGTCCCAAAAACAAAATTTTAGACCCCCTCCTTCCTCCTACCCCCCACTTCCGGTATAAACGTTTATTTTCGATCTATATTTTTTCTGAGGACATGAAGCAATTAAAAAATCTGAAAAAATTCACAAAAATACTTTTCAACAATCCAAACAACCTTGAATTTTTTCATCAAAATACATAACCTCAAATTTTTTCAGATTTTTTAATTGAAGGCGGTAGCTTCTAGGGCTGGAAAATGCTATTTTTAACAAAAAAAGGTTCCTAGAACCCGATGGTTCCAGTGAAACAATTTGAAATATTTCTTTTGAATTCCTTGTCAAATTTTAATAAATTTTGACCGTTTTAAGTTTTCGATTGAAGCCTCCTATCTCAATCTAGAGCAGGACAAAGATTAATGCAAAATTCGGAAGACGGTTTCTGAAGACGTTAAGAAATGATAAAACTGTTTTGATGCTCTAAATTATACATATTTTTACGTATACCGGCGAATGGAACTTTGTTTGAGTACAGCATGTTATTTATTATACATGCAAATACTTGGTTTTTAAAAAAAATCGTTATAATGAAATATGTTTTTTTGCACAACGATGTGTTTTTTACAGAATTTTGATGAGATATTTTTTTATGTTGTTTGGATAAGACATGTTATTTTTGACGGCTTCTGAGAGAGATATCTTACTTCACGGCATTTCAATGAGACGTGTTTTTCTTCACGACGTATCGATGAAAAGTGTTTTTTTTTCACCGCGTTTTAAGGAAGCGTGTTTTTCTTCGCGGTGTTCCATTGTCACATGGTTTTCTTTGTGGTGTTTTACTGGTACAAATGTTTTTCATAAGCACCGTCAATTGACCCGTGCGCCATCGTGAATAGTCACAACGCGAGCTTATCTCTCTAAGAACCACCCATCGCAGTCGTTGCACATAGTGTACAGTGTCGTGTATGCAAGTTAAATTTAGCCAGTGCGAGACTGCGTACGTGAACACGACCCAGTAACCACGACACTGCCAGGTGCCAAGCCAACGATTCCGTTGTACCAATCTGGAAACGAGTTCTAGGCACCGACGAACCAACGTTGTAACACCAAATCCTGCGAGCAAGTTCGATAAGCAGATCTGCAAGCAACAACGAATAAGCGACAAAATATTGTATTTGCGAGCGAACGATCGGCCCTTTTTATCTTTTTCTTCGCGTATTGTAAAGTCCATTGTATCAAACTACTGAACGTGCAACATTGAATAAACTAGCATCTTTATTTAATTATTAAATGTAAGACGAACTCTTCCTTGAGTCGACCTCTCTTGTCAGCAACCGAGATCCTTGACAAGTAGACGACTTGCCTAGCAACGACACACGAACGATACCAGTGGAAGTAAGTGACTCGTCTAGCCAACTGCTCGACGAGAAATTATTTTGTAATTCGGAGTTGATATTCCCTTCTTTTACGCCGTGCGAGCTAGCCCGCCATACCCTTACAAAAATTTCCTATAGGATCCCGCGAAATTCGTACAGGAGTCCTATGCGACTCCAGTATTTATTAATTAATTCTATTCGATTAAAAGTTATGATAAAACTATATATGAAAAGATGTCATACCAACAAAATGTATCTAAAGTTATTGATAAATTTTGGTTTATGCTACATTGCAATATTTATTATGTCATCATGAATGAATTTCTTGTGAAAATTTTTTTTTTGAAAAACAATTAAGGGGACACACCTGTGTTTATACCTTGTGACGATCGCGTTACGTCGTCACATCTCTCTCTCCTCCAATACTATGTAAGGACCTATGTACCACTTTATGCGACGCAGCAGCAGCCACGGTATGCACGTGTGTGTGAGAGAGAGAAATAGCATAAGTGTGTGTCGCATCACGCACGACTGTCTGCTCCGTTTTGGTAAGGTGTAGGGCCGCTGAGAGGTCACGTGAGTAATTAGCCCGAGGCATACGTGAACCTGTGCTCTCAACGGCAGATCGGTTTTAGCGACGAACTAGCGCGCGCGTACGAAAAGTTACTTATCGTTCTTTTATTAAGTCCGCGGCTAGTCGCGTAAAATAACACTTTTCTCTCGTTTGCGTTCGCGAGTGTAGTTCCGCGTCCGCGAACCTCAGCCAAGTGCACGACAGCACCACGTGACGAGCGAGCTTCCCGAGGAAGCAAGAGAGCCCGGCTTTGGAGCATCCACGCCGACCTGTAAGTGCTTCTTGATTTAATCTCGCCCTCGTGTGCAATCGCGTTCACCGCCTGCGTTGGCTATTGTGTGTGAGTGTCGCGATTGCTCTGCTGCGTTCGCGCTTGTGTATAATTACTCTTGAACCATTGAATAATAATAATTACTTATATTTTATTTTCACTTAAATCCATGAGTAATTATTTGTAGTTATCTTGTCTTCCCGTCCATATTCTTCCCTAGGTTTTGAACCACGACGCCACCGCGGTCGGCGCGAAATCTCGCACCGAATCCTGAGCTAGCTGGCGATCTCGCGAACCTAGGGCGAGAACTTATTTACTTAATCATTTATTGAAACGGTCACGGGAACCGTTACAACCTATAAATGAAAAACAGGAAAATTAAGGATTACTATTAAAATTTTTTGTTTCTGATATAAAAATATGTTTTTATAGGTCCTTTTACAACAAAAAATATGTCTGTAGTTTCTCTTATTATTGAAAATCATCCATCAAACATGTATATTGACTTGTGATTTCTAAGTCATTGACCGCGTGATTTTGAATGCAATTTTTCACCAATCCGGATCCTTGCGGTCTCAAAAGTTTTGCAATAAAATTCCTTTCCACTTAAGTGTAACTGATTTTTTATTTAGTTGTTTTTTTAATCTACTAATCTCCAAATATAGCAATAAGCGTTATTAAAATAGCTATTTTTGTCTTTGTTTTTTTGTACTTTAGAATGAAAAAAATTTTCCAAGCCTTTTATTTAAATTCTGTTACATTTAAGTGGAAAAAAATTTTATTACAAAAGTTTTGATACAGCAAGGATCCGCATCGGTAAAAAATTGCATTCAAAATCATGCGGTCAATGACTTAGAAATCACAAGTCAATATACTTGTTTGATGGATGATTTTCAGTAATAATAGGAACAAGAGACATATTTTTATTGTAAAAGGACCTATAAAAACATATTTTTACATCA